GCACCAGTCATGTTCACCGTCTCTCTCTGTCACATCTGCGAAGTCATCCTTGCCCCATAGTAATCTTCATGAACTAGCCCACGTACGGTGATTGATAGCCTTGAAAAAGCCGCGCACTGCAGAACGCAGGCGGGCATTGAGGAAAAATAGACTGACTGCATCAAAAAGGCGCTCGTATTATTGCGCAATGATAAAAAATTAATATAGATCGCGCCACCAAGGCAAGGCAAGGCAAGTTTATTTATATAGCACCTTTCATACACAGTGGCAATTCAAAGTGCTTTACATAAACAAGAATAAAAGAAACAAGTAAAATAAAAATAAAAACAAATAATAAAAATGCGTAAAAACAAAACAAAACATAAAAACAGGTAAAATGTGATATAAAAGAATGAAGAAGAAGAGAAAAACATGATAGTGCAATCTGTCGGACGCAGCACAGTGCTCATTCAGTAAAGGCACAGCTAAACAGATGTGTTTTCAGTCTTGATTTGAATGTGCCTAATGTTGGAGCACATCTGATCATTTCTTGAAGCTGATTCCAGCAGCGAGGGGCATAGTGGCTAAAAGCCGATTCACCCTGCTTTGACTGAGCTCTTGGAACTTCTAGTTTATATGATCCTAATGATCTGAGTGATCTGTTAGGTTTGTATTCAGTGAGCATATCGGTGATGTATTTAGGTCCTAGGCCATTTAGTGATTTATAGACCAGTAATAATACTTTAAAATCTATTCTGAATGTAACTGGCAGCCAGTGTAAAGACCTGAGGACAGGTGTGATGTGCTCTGATTTTCTGGTTCTGGTTAGAATTCTGGCTGAAGCGTTCTGGATGAGCTGTAACTGTCTGACTGTCTTTTTAGGAAGACCAGTGAGGAGTCCATTACAGTAATCCACCCTGCTGCTGATAAAAGCATGAACAAGTTTTTCTAAATCTTCACTAGAAACAAAACATCTGATTCTTGCTATGTTTTTAAGATGATAGTATGCTTATTTACTGACTGCTTTGACATGTCAAATGCAGCACTGAGATCCAACAATACCAGCACTGTTATTTTACCTGAATCTGAATTTAGGCGTATATCATTGATTATCTTTATAAGAGCGCTCTCTGTACTGTGATGTGCTCTGAAACCAGATTGAAAATTGTCTAAACACCCCCTGAAGTTTAAGAACTTGTTAACCTGGTTAAAAACAACTTTTTCAATGATTTTGCCAATGAAAGGGAGATTTGAGATTGGCCTGTAATTGCTCAATAGGGTGTTATCCAGGTTGCTCTTCTTCAAGAGGGGTTTAACAACCGCAGTTTTAAGTGAGGTTGGAAAAATCCCTGATAGAAGTGAAGCATTTACCACTTTTAGAAGATCCATTTCTAAACAGGTAAACACCGTTTTGAAGAATGATGTAGGGAGTGTGTCAAGACTGCAGGTTGATGTTTTCATAACTTGCACAATCTCTTCTAAGATTTTACCATTAATTGTCATGAAATCAGACATAATGTCTGATTTCTTAAGTTGTGGTTGAGCTTGTTTGATATTGACACAACTTGACTGATTGGGTGAGCTGATTGCCTTTCTGATATTATTGATCTTATCAGTGAAGAAATGAGCAAACTCATTAAATTGCTTTCAGAGAGGAGCTCACTTGGAATCCGACTGGGAGGGGTTGTGAGTCTCTCTATCGTTGCAAAGAGTGTACGAGCATTATTTAAGTTGCTCTTTATAAGGCTTGAAAAGAAAGTCTGTCTAGCAGTGTTTAGTTCCATATTAAAGGCATGAAGACTGTCTTTATAGATATTATAATGGACTACTAGTTTCGTCTTTCTCCACATACGCTCAGCTTTTCTGCACTGTCTTTTCATCATTTGTACTCTAGGTGACCTTGTCCAAGATCCCTTTTGCCTGCCAGTCATCTTCTTGACTTTAACAGGAGTGATGTCATTTATGACATTCTCAATTTTAGAATTAAACAAATCAAGGAGAGCATCAACAGAATCTGCAGATATACTTGGTGCTAGCGATATGGCCTTCATAAACTGCTCACTGGTGTTCTCATTTATGCATCTCTTTCTGACAGAGACAGATCTGTCTTTAATAGCTGGAGTGATCAATATATCAAAGAAGATACAGAAATGATCAGATAGTGCCACATCCTTAACAACAGTCGATGAAATGTGTAAACCCTTAGTTATAAGTAGATCAAGGGTGTGTCCACGATTGTGTGTGGGTCCTTGAACATGCTGAGTCAGATCAAAAGTGTTAAAAACAGCATTGATTTCTGGATTATCAATGTGAATATTAAAATCCCCAGCAATACTAAAATAATCAAACTCAGAGGTTACAATTGATTACAGCTCTGTAAAATCCTCAATAAAAGCTGGAGAATATTTTGGAGGTCTGTAGATAATGGTCAGTAAGATGCGTGGAGCACCTTTTAGTGCTATACTCAGATATTCAAAAGACAAATAGTCACCAAATGACACTTGTTTACATTCATACACATCTTTAAACAGGGCAGCGATGCCTCCACCTCTCCTATTAACTCTGCAAACACTCAAAAAGTGAAAATTTAAAGGAGCTGCTTCATTCAGAACTGCTGCCAAGTTTAATTTAAAAGCATAAAATCAAGGCAATTTGTGTTGATAAAATCATTGACTAAAAGAGACTTATTGTTGAGTGATCTGATGTTTAAAAGTGCTAACTTAACAGTTTTAGCTGTTTTTTCTATAGTAGTCTCAGATCTACATTTAATAGACACCAGATTTGAATGATTTGCTATACGGCCTGATGAAGTCTTTGGTTTTCTGTCACTTAACACAACACATATCTGCTTAGAGAAAGCTACAGACACACTGGGTTCCTGCTTGTTCTGAAAACATCTGATAAAGACACTGTTATCTAAGCAGGTCCCCGACACACATCACAGAAAGCTCTTGTGTTCACCAGCTGAAGATGGGGCGTTGTTGTTTGGGCCCTGGCGGTGTGGCAAAAATCGGAGGGCTCTTCCAGGTGGGCTCATAGGTGGTTGTGGAGCAGGCCGCTTTTTGGTTGGTAACTGGGGGCTTGCGGCAATGGAGTGTGAAAGTTTAGTTCCAGCACACACCAGTTCCTCCATCTTTTTTGAAAAACCCAAGAGTGGTGAACATTGTGACAATGAGAACGTGTCCGGTGACAGAGGCTGTGCATCTGGAGATTCTGTCTGCAGAAATATGTTTTCCTGAGGATCATTTTTGAGTGACGAGACTTGATGCTGTTCTGATGCGTCACAGTCTGCCTGTGTTGAGCAGAGGGCAACTGATAGTGTCTCTATCAACATTGGGTGTTTTGGCTGCGTGGCATTATCACTGTCCTTGGTCAGCCACAAGTCCACTCAGGAGCTGATTTGAGGTCCTGTGGTCATCTGGACATTTGCTAGGTGTGTGTGTGCAATTCAGTTCAATGGCATACACAGCTGATGGATGATTGAGGGAGAAAAAAATATTGTCCTTTAGCACCTTTGCACCAAGTTTGTTTGGATGAAGGCTGTCTGATGTAAACAGCTGTCTTTGGTTCCAGAAGAGATTGAAGTTGTCGATGAAATTCAGTCTTTTCTTGTTACATGTTTTCTGTAGCCATACATTTAGACCAAGAAGCCGTGAAAACATATTTGTCCCTCTTGCAGGGAGTGGTCCACTTATGAACGGCTGAACCTTCAATCTTTCAACTGTTTCCAAGAGCTCACAGAAATCTTTCTTGAGCAGTTCTGACTGTTCCTTCCGAATATCATTCTTCCCCACATGGATGATAATACGTTTTGCAGTATTGTGCTTTTTCAGAATTTCCTCAAGTTCTTTGTTTACATCAGAAACTGTTGCATGAGGAAAGCAGTATGTCATTGTAGATCTGCTCCTGAAATTCTTGATTATTGAATCTCCTACGACTAGTGTTCTTATCTCAGGTGTGATCGGAGCAGAATGCCGCTGTTTAGTCGGCCTTGAGCCTCTGTTCCATGCTGAATTAGTTGCTGAATCATGCAATCTCTGTCTGACTGCATTTGGGGATTTTTCACCCATATTACTCAAAACTTCATATCTGTTCTGAAGCTGTATTTGAGTCCGAGCTGTATTTGGGGTAGAAGACGCTAATGCGGCAGCGTATGATCTGACCCCACGAGTACCCTTTGGTCTCGCACCTTGTTTATGCCAATTCTCATTTTCAACAGTTTTTTTCTGTTTTTCTGTGCTCAAAACAGTAGCAGGAACAGATTTATGGGACTCACCGGATGTGTGCTGAGAGAATCCACAATGAAGCTGAAGTTCTGGTCGGATCGCAAGCAACTTCGTTTCAAGAACTGCAATCTTTTGTAGAAGTTTGTGGCAGTTTGTACAGCAGTGAGAATCTGAATTAATCCGATCCAGAGGCATTTTTACAGCTGTGTTTTCCTGTCTCCGTAATGTAAGCAGCTGGTAGCTGTTAGCGGGTCGATTGTTTAGACGGTAATTTCCTTCTTGTTAGTAAAGCTATATTCCAGGAAGTTTGTAGAATCGATGCTGATCTTCAAGCCTTGTTGTTTGAGCACTGTGCTGATAGGCTCAAGTTAAAATTAGGGTATAAGATATAAAAGCAAGAGTGCGAAGAGCGGAGCAGTGGGCAAAGACGTCCGAACAGTAGCAAAGCAGGAAGTAGTCTCTCCAAACACATGAAAACGAAAGTAACGAGCGTGGTTTAAAAACAATACAAAGTACAGTACAGATATTTGTGCAAAAATGTAAGAAGTAAAAGTAAAAAGTTGCCAGAAAAATTAGTGGAGTAAAATACTGATACCAAAAAAAACTACTTAAGTACAGTAACAAAGTATTTGTACTTCGTTACTTCTATCTCTGGCGCTGGCACTAAAGACCCTGGCAGACATTTTGCGAAGGTTAGGATCCCTATGCCGAACATGTTTCGGTGCCGAACCCGGACAAAGAGAGCCTTGGTTGAAAGCAGTCTTTTTGAGTTCTTCTGGCAAAAGCTGCCTGCAAGCGTTGGTGGTATAATGGTGAGCATAGCTGCCTTCCAAGCAGTTGACCCAGGTTCGATTCCCGGCCAACGCATTTTCCTTTGGCTGCTGTATATATCACGTCGGCCGATGACGCGCTTGTTAAAGGCAAGCAACCGAAAAGTAAAACGCAAACAAGGGTTAGGGTTAGGGTTAGCTGCATTCAGTCAACCCTTGCAATGACATTCAAACCGGGGGAGCTCATTACAGTGAACACTGGCTGACAGAAGATGAGAACTCCAGCCTCAACCACGGCGAATAAAGCTCTGCACAAGACTTTTGGCCAGCGGAGTAATTAAAATGGTCGTGCCCAACTGAGTCTGGTTCTCTCAAGGTTTTTTTTCTTCACTCCCATCAGGTGAAGTTTTTTTTCCCTCTCCGCTGTCGCCACTGCCTCGCATGGTTCAGGATTGGTAGGGCTACGCATCTATGAATTTGCTCTTCAGTGTTTGAACTCTCAGTAATGATTAAATCACACTGAACTGAGCTAAACTGAACTGAACTGAACTTAAACACTAAAACCTGAATCACACTGTTCCAGTTACTATAACCATTTATGTGAAGCTGCTTTGACACAATCTACATTGTAAAAGCGCTATACAAATAAAGCTGAATTGAATTGAATTGAACTCCGCCACTGCAGAGTGAAATTATCCACCTCTGTTGTTTTTTGGTGAGTTTGTGCCGTCGAACGATTTATCCAACCTCAACGTCGGAAAAAGATGGGATCCATACTTGACATTTTTGTTTTTCGCCCCCCACACAAAGAAACTCCTTGGTTGAAAGCTTTCATTTTCTACACTTCTGTGAGAGGATGTCCACAAGCGTTGGTAACATAGTGGTGAGCACAGCTGGCTTCCAAGCAGATTCCCAGCCAATGTGTTCCTTTTGGCTTCCGTTATGCTACATGGCCGGGCGGCACTCTTGTGAAGATGTCCCTGTGACATGTGGGTAGATCGGTGCATTTTGCGAAGGTTAGGATCCCTATGCCGAACATGTTTCGGTGCCGAACCCGGACAAAGAGGGATCCTTGGTTGAAGGCAGTCCTTTTTGAGTTCTACTGGCAAAAGCTGCCCGCAAGCGTTGGTGGTATAGTGGTGAGCATAGCTGCCTTCCAAGCAGTTGACCCGGGTTCGATTCCCGGCCAACGCATTTTCCTTTGGCTGCTGTATACGTCACGTCGGCCGATGACGCGCTTGTTAAAGGCAACCAACCGAAAAGTGAAAGGCAGACAAGGGCCTCCCCGTCGGGGAATCGAACCCCAGTCTTCCGCGTGACAAGCGGAGATACTGTCCACTATACTAACGAGGAGCTGCAGTGCTAAGGTGCCCGCTCCTGCCCCACGCACATCAGCCACGTAATCCGGTCCTAGCAGCATTGTCTGCAGCGCTGCCACTAAAGACCTTGGCAGACAGCAAGAGGAGGGCTGAAAACTGGGCTTGGACAGCTTTTGCTTCATTAATACTCCTTGCTTCTTTCTCAGTCTTGCACTGGTCATCAGCAGTAACTTAAACAGTGCATCACACAGGAGAACGTGATTAGCATGTTTTGCAGCAAACAAAGCACGCCATTCATTCTTACACACAGCCCAGCTTTTACTCCACAAAATGTCAGCTTGCCCTTTCACGAGCTGCATCCAGTCAACCCTTGCAATGACATTCAATCCGGGGGAGCTCATTACAGTGAACACCGGCTGACAGAAGATGAGAACTCCACCACTGCAGAGTGAAATTATCCACCTCTGTTGTTTTTTGGTGAGCTTGTGCCGTCGAACGATTTATCCAACCTCAACATCGGAAAAAGATGGGATCCATACTTGACATTTTTGTTTTTCGCCCCCCACACAAAGAAACTCCTTGGTTGAAAGCTTTCATTTTCTACACTTCTGTGAGAGGATGTCGACAAGCGTTGGTAACATAGTGGTGAGCACAGCTGGCTTCCAAGCAGATTCCCAGCCAATGTGTTCCTTTTGGCTTCCGTTATGCTACATGGCCGGGCGGCACTCTTGTGAGGATGTCCCTGTGACATGTGGGTAGATCGGTGCATTTTGCGAAGGTAAGGATCCCTATGCCGAACATGTTTCGGTGCCGAACCCGGACAAAGAGGGATCCTTGGTTGAAGGCAGTCCTTTTTGAGTTCTTCTGGCAAAAGCTGCCCGCAAGCGTTGGTCGTATAGTGGTGAGCATAGCTGCCTTCCAAGCAGTTGACCCGGGTTCGATTCCCGGCCAACGCATTTTCCTTTGGCTGCTGTATACGTCACGTCGGCCGATGACGCGCTTGTTAAAGGCAACCAACCGAAAAGTAAAAGGCAGACAAGGGCCTCCCCGTCGGGGAATCGATCCCCGGTCTTCCGCGTGACAGGCGGAGATACTGTCCACTATACTAACGAGGAGCTGCGGAGCTAAGGTGCCCGCTCCTGCGCCACGCAGATCAGCCACGTAATCCGGTCCTAGCAGCATTGTCTGCAGCGCTGCCACTAAAGACCTTGGCAGACAGCAAGAGGAGGGCTGAAAACTGGGCTTGGACAGCTTTTTCTTCATTAATACTCCTTGCTTCTTTCTCAGTCTTGCACTGGTCATCAGCAGTAACTTGAACAGTGCATCACACAGGAGAACGTGATTAGCATGTTTTGCAGCAAACAAAGCACGCCATTCATTCTTACACACAGCCCAGCTTTTACTCCACAAAATGTCAGCTTGCCCTTTCACGAGCTGCATGCAGTCAACCCTTGCAATGACATTCAAACCGGGGGAGCTCATTACAGTGAACACTGGCTGACAGAAGATGAGAACTCCACCACTGCAGAGTGAAATTATCCACCTCTGTTGTTTTTTGGTGAGCTTGTGCCGTCGAACGATTTATCCAACCTCAACGTCGGAAAAAGATGGGATCCATACTTGACATTTTTGTTTTTCGCCCCCCACACAAAGAAACTCCTTGCTTGAAAGCTTTCATTTTCTACACTTCTGTGAGAGGATGTCCACAAGCGTTGGTAACATAGTGGTGAGCACAGCTGGCTTCCAAGCAGATTCCCAGCCAATGTGTTCCTTTTGGCTTCCGTTATGCTACATGGCCGGGCGGCACTCTTGTGAGGATGTCCCTGTGACATGTGGGTAGATCGGTGCATTTTGCGAAGGTTAGGATCCCTATGCCGAACATGTTTCGGTGCCGAACCCGGACAAAGAGGGATCCTTGGTTGAAGGCAGTCCTTTTTGAGTTCTTCTGGCAAAAGCTGCCCGCAAGCGTTGGTGGTATAGTGGTGAGCATAGCTGCCTTCCAAGCAGTTGACCCGGGTTCGATTCCCGGCCAACGCATTTTCCTTTGGCTGCTGTATACGTCACGTCGGCCGATGACGCGCTTGTTAAAGGCAACCAACCGAAAAGTAAAAGGCAGACAAGGGCCTCCCCGTCGGGGAATCGATCCCCGGTCTTCCGCGTGACAGGCGGAGATACTGTCCACTATACTAACGAGGAGCTGCGGAGCTAAGGTGCCCGCTCCTGCGCCACGCAGATCAGCCACGTAATCCGGTCCTAGCAGCATTGTCTGCAGCGCTGCCACTAAAGACCTTGGCAGACAGCAAGAGGAGGGCTGAAAACTGGGCTTGGACAGCTTTTTCTTCATTAATACTCCTTGCTTCTTTCTCAGTCTTGCACTGGTCATCAGCAGTAACTTGAACAGTGCATCACACAGGAGAACGTGATTAGCATGTTTTGCAGCAAACAAAGCACGCCATTCATTCTTACACACAGCCCAGCTTTTACTCCACAAAATGTCAGCTTGCCCTTTCACGAGCTGCATGCAGTCAACCCTTGCAATGACATTCAAACCGGGGGAGCTCATTACAGTGAACACTGGCTGACAGAAGATGAGAACTCCACCACTGCAGAGTGAAATTATCCACCTCTGTTGTTTTTTGGTGAGCTTGTGCCGTCGAACGATTTATCCAACCTCAACGTCGGAAAAAGATGGGATCCATACTTGACATTTTTGTTTTTCGCCCCCCACACAAAGAAACTCCTTGCTTGAAAGCTTTCATTTTCTACACTTCTGTGAGAGGATGTCCACAAGCGTTGGTAACATAGTGGTGAGCACAGCTGGCTTCCTAGCAGATTCCCAGCCAATGTGTTCCTTTTGGCTTCCGTTATGCTACATGGCCGGGCGGCACTCTTGTGAGGATGTCCCTGTGACATGTGGGTAGATCGGTGCATTTTGCGAAGGTTAGGATTCCTATGCCGAACATGTTTCGGTGCCGAACCCGGACAAAGAGGGATCCTTGGTTGAAGGCAGTCCTTTTTGAGTTCTTCTGGCAAAAGCTGCCCGCAAGCGTTGGTGGTATAGTGGTGAGCATAGCTGCCTTCCAAGCAGTTGACCCGGGTTCGATTCCCGGCCAACGCATTTTCCTTTGGCTGCTGTATACGTCACGTCGGCCGATGACGCGCTTGTTAAAGGCAACCAACCGAAAAGTAAAAGGCAGACATGGGCCTCCCGTCGGAGAATCGAACCCAGGTCTTCCGCGTGACAGGCGGAGATACTGTCCACTATACTAACGAGGAGCTGCGGAGCTAAGGTGCCCGCTCCTGCCCCACGCAGATCAGCCATGTAATCCGGTCCTAGCAGCATTGTCTGCAGCGCTGCCACTAAAGACCTTGGCAGACAGCAAGAGGAGGGCTGAAAACTGGGCTTGGACAGCTTTTTCTTCATTAATACTCCTTGCTTCTTTCTCAGTCTTGCACTGGTCATCAGCAGTAACTTGAACAGTGCATCACACAGGAGAACGTGATTAGCATGTTTTGCAGCAAACAAAGCACGCCATTCATTCTTACACACAGCCCAGCTTTTACTCCACAAAATGTCAGCTTGCCCTTTCACGAGCTGCATCCAGTCAACCCTTGCAATGACATTCAAACCGGGGGAGCTCATTACAGTGAACACTGGCTGACAGAAGATGAGAACTCCACCACTGCAGAGTGAAATTATCCACTTCTGTTGTTTTTTGGTGAGCTTGTGCCGTCGAACGATTTATCCAACCTCAACGTCGGAAAAAGATGGGATCCATACTTGACATTTTTGTGTTTCGCCCCCCACACAAAGAAACTCCTTGCTTGAAAGCTTTCATTTTCTACACTTCTGTGAGAGGATGTCCGCAAGCGTTGGTAACATAGTGGTGAGCACAGCTGGCTTCCAAGCAGATTCCCAGCCAATGTGTTCCTTTTGGCTTCCGTTATGCTACATGGCCGGGCGGCACTCTTGTGAGGATGTCCCTGTGACATGTGGGTAGATCGGTGCATTTTGCGAAGGTTAGGATCCCTATGCCGAACATGTTTCGGTGCCGAACCCGGACAAAGAGGGATCCTTGGTTGAAGGCAGTCCTTTTTGAGTTCTTCTGGCAAAAGCTGCCCGCAAGCGTTGGTGGTATAGTGGTGAGCATAGCTGCCTTCCAAGCAGTTGACCCGGGTTCGATTCCCGGCCAACGCATTTTCCTTTGGCTGCTGTATACGTCACGTCGGCCGATGACGCGCTTGTTAAAGGCAACCAACCGAAAAGTAAAAGGCAGACAAGGGCCTCCCCGTCGGGGAATCGAATCCCCGGTATTCCGCGTGACAGGCGGAGATACTGTCCACTATACTAACGAGGAGCTGCGGAGCTAAGGTGCCCGCTCCTGCCCCACGCAGATCAGCCACGTAATCCGGTCCTAGCAGCATTGTCTGCAGCGCTGCCACTAAAGACCTTGGCAGACAGCAAGAGGAGGGCTGAAAACTGGGCTTGGACAGCTTTTTCTTCATTAATACTCCTTGCTTCTTTCTCAGTCTTGCACTGGTCATCAGCAGTAACTTGAACAGTGCATCACACAGGAGAACGTGATTAGCATGTTTTGCAGCAAACAAAGCACGCCATTCATTCTTACACACAGCCCAGCTTTTACTCCACAAAATGTCAGCTTGCCCTTTCACGAGCTGCATCCAGTCAACCCTTGCAATGACATTCAAACCGGGGGAGCTCATTACAGTGAACACTGGCTGACAGAAGATGAGAACTCCACCACTGCAGAGTGAAATTATCCACCTCTGTTGTTTTTTGGTGAGCTTGTGCCGTCGAACGATTTATCCAACCTCAACGTCGGAAAAAGATGGGATCCATACTTGACATTTTTGTTTTTCGCCCCCCACACAAAGAAACTCCTTGCTTGAAAGCTTTCATTTTCTACACTTCTGTGAGAGGATGTCCACAAGCGTTGGTAACATAGTGGTGAGCACAGCTGGCTTCCAAGCAGATTCCCAGCCAATGTGTTCCTTTTGGCTTCCGTTATGCTACATGGCCGGGCGGCACTCTTGTGAAGATGTCCCTGTGACATGTGGGTAGATCGGTGCATTTTGCGAAGGTTAGGATTCCTATGCCGAACATGTTTCGGTGCCGAACCCGGACAAAGAGGGATCCTTGGTTGAAGGCAGTCCTTTTTGAGTTCTTCTGGCAAAAGCTGCCCGCAAAGCGTTGGTGGTATAGTGGTGAGCATAGCTGCCTTCCAAGCAGTTGACCCGGGTTCGATTCCCGGCCAACGCATTTTCCTTTGGCTGCTGTATACGTCACGTCGGCCGATGACGCGCTTGTTAAAGGCAACCAACCGAAAAGTAAAAGGCAGACAAGGGCCTCCCCGTCGGGGAATCGAACCCCGGTCTTCCGCGTGACAGGCAGAGATACTGTCCACTATACTAACGAGGAGCTGCGGAGCTAAGGTGCCCGCTCCTGCCCCACGCAGATCAGCCACGTAATCCGGTCCTAGCAGCATTGTCTGCAGCGCTGCCACTAAAGACCTTGGCAGACAGCAAGAGGAGGGCTGAAAACTGGGCTTGGACAGCTTTTTCTTCATTAATACTCCTTGCTTCTTTCTCAGTCTTGCACTGGTCATCAGCAGTAACTTGAACAGTGCATCACACAGGAGAACGTGATTAGCATGTTTTGCAGCAAACAAAGCACGCCATTCATTCTTACACACAGCCCAGCTTTTACTCCACAAAATGTCAGCTTGCCCTTTCACGAGCTGCATCCAGTCAACCCTTGGAATGACATTCAAACCGGGGGAGCTCATTACAGTGAACACTGGCTGACAGAAGATGAGAACTCCACCACTGCAGAGTGAAATTATCCACCTCTGTTGTTTTTTGGTGAGCTTGTGCCGTCGAACGATTTATCCAACCTCAACGTCGGAAAAAGATGGGATCCATACTTGACATTTTTGTTTTTCGCCCCCCACACAAAGAAACTCCTTGCTTGAAAGCTTTCATTTTCTACACTTCTGTGAGAGGATGTCCACAAGCGTTGGTAACATAGTGGTGAGCACAGCTGGCTTCCAAGCAGATTTCCAGCCAATGTGTTCCTTTTGGCTTCCGTTATGCTACATGGCCGGGCGGCACTCTTGTGAGGATGTCCCTGTGACATGTGGGTAGATCGGTGCATTTTGCGAAGGTTAGGATCCCTATGCCGAACATGTTTCGGTGCCGAACCCGGACAAAGAGGGATCCTTGGTTGAAGGCAGTCCTTTTTGAGTTCTTCTGGCAAAAGCTGCCCGCAAGCGTTGGTGGTATAGTGGTGAGCATAGCTGCCTTCCAAGCAGTTGACCCGGGTTCGATTCCCGGCCAACGCATTTTCCTTTGGCTGCTGTATACGTCACGTCGGCCGATGACGCGCTTGTTAAAGGCAACCAACTGAAAAGTAAAAGGCAGACAAGGGCCTCCCCGTCGGGGAATCGAACCCCGGTCTTCCGCGTGACAGGCGGAGATACTGTCCACTATACTAACGAGGAGCTGCAGAAAAGGTGCCCGCTCCTGCCCCACGCAGATCAGCCACGTAATCCGGTCCTAGCAGCATTGTCTGCAGCGCTGCCACTAAAGACCTTGGCAGACAGCAAGAGGAGGGCTGAAAACTGGGCTTGGACAGCTTTTTCTTCATTAATACTCCTTGCTTCTTTCTCAGTCTTGCACTGGTCATCAGCAGTAACTTGAACAGTGCATCACACAGGAGAACGTGATTAGCATGTTTTGCAGCAAACAAAGCACGCCATTCATTCTTACACACAGCCCAGCTTTTACTCCACAAAATGTCAGCTTGCCCTTTCACGAGCTGCATCCAGTCAACCCTTGCAATGACATTCAAACCGGGGGAGCTCATTACAGTGAACACTGGCTGACAGAAGATGAGAACTCCACCACTGCAGAGTGAAATTATCCACCTCTGTTGTTTTTTGGTGAGCTTGTGCCGTCGAACGATTTATCCAACCTCAACGTCGGAAAAAGATGGGATCCATACTTGACATTTTTGTTTTTCGCCCCCCACACAAAGAAACTCCTTGCTTGAAAGCTTTCATTTTCTACACTTCTGTGAGAGGATGTCCACAAGCGTTGGTAACATAGTGGTGAGCACAGCTGGCTTCCAAGCAGATTCCCAGCCAATGTGTTCCTTTTGGCTTCCGTTATGCTACATGGCCGGGCGGCACTCTTGTGAAGATGTCCCTGTGACATGTGGGTAGATCGGTGCATTTTGCGAAGGTTAGGATTCCTATGCCGAACATGTTTCGGTGCCGAACCCGGACAAAGAGGGATCCTTGGTTGAAGGCAGTCCTTTTTGAGTTCTTCTGGCAAAAGCTGCCCGCAAAGCGTTGGTGGTATAGTGGTGAGCATAGCTGCCTTCCAAGCAGTTGACCCGGGTTCGATTCCCGCCCAACGCATTTTCCTTTGGCTGCTGTATACGTCACGTCGGCCGATGACGCGCTTGTTAAAGGCAACCAACCGAAAAGTAAAAGGCAGACAAGGGCCTCCCCGTCGGGGAATCAAACCCCGGTCTTCCGCGTGACAGGCGGAGATACTGTCCACTATACTAACGAGGAGCTGCGGAGCTAAGGTGCCCGCTCCTGCCCCACGCAGATCAGCCACGTAATCCGGTCCTAGCAGCATTGTCTGCAGCGCTGCCACTAAAGACCTTGGCAGACAGCAAGAGGAGGGCTGAAAACTGGGCTTGGACAGCTTTTTCTTCATTAATACTCCTTGCTTCTTTCTCAGTCTTGCACTGGTCATCAGCAGTAACTTGAACAGTGCATCACACAGGAGAACGTGATTAGCATGTTTTGCAGCAAACAAAGCACGCCATTCATTCTTACACACAGCCCAGCTTTTACTCCACAAAATGTCAGCTTGCCCTTTCACGAGCTGCATCCAGTCAACCCTTGGAATGACATTCAAACCGGGGGAGCTCATTACAGTGAACACTGGCTGACAGAAGATGAGAACTCCACCACTGCAGAGTGAAATTATCCACCTCTGTTGTTTTTTGGTGAGCTTGTGCCGTCGAACGATTTATCCAACCTCAACGTCGGAAAAAGATGGGATCCATACTTGACATTTTTGTTTTTCGCCCCCCACACAAAGAAACTCCTTGCATGAAAGCTATCATTATCTACACTTCTGTGAGAGGATGTCCACAAGCGTTGGTAACATAGTGGTGAGCACAGCTGGCTTCCAAGCAGATTCCCAGCCAATGTGTTCCTTTTGGCTTCCGTTATGCTACATGGCCGGGCGGCACTCTTGTGAAGATGTCCCTGTGACATGTGGGTAGATCGGTGCATTTTGCGAAGGTTAGGATTCCTATGCCGAACATGTTTCGGTGCCGAACCCGGACAAAGAGGGATCCTTGGTTGAAGGCAGTCCTTTTTGAGTTCTTCTGGCAAAAGCTGCCCGCAAAGCGTTGGTGGTATAGTGGTGAGCATAGCTGCCTTCCAAGCAGTTGACCCGGGTTCGATTCCCGGCCAACGCATTTTCCTTTGGCTGCTGTATACGTCACGTCGGCCGATGACGCGCTTGTTAAAGGCAACCAACCGAAAAGTAAAAGGCAGACAAGGGCCTCCCCGTCGGGGAATCGAACCCCGGTCTTCCGCGTGACAGGCGGAGATACTGTCCACTATACTAACGAGGAGCTGCGGAGCTAAGGTGCCCGCTCCTGCCCCACGCAGATCAGCCACGTAATCCGGTCCTAGCAGCATTGTCTGCAGCGCTGCCACTAAAGACCTTGGCAGACAGCAAGAGGAGGGCTGAAAACTGGGCTTGGACAGCTTTTTCTTCATTAATACTCCTTGCTTCTTTCTCAGTCTTGCACTGGTCATCAGCAGTAACTTGAACAGTGCATCACACAGGAGAACGTGATTAGCATGTTTTGCAGCAAACAAAGCACGCCATTCATTCTTACACACAGCCCAGCTTTTACTCCACAAAATGTCAGCTTGCCCTTTCACGAGCTGCATCCAGTCAACCCTTGGAATGACATTCAAACCGGGGGAGCTCATTACAGTGAACACTGGCTGACAGAAGATGAGAACTCCACCACTGCAGAGTGAAATTATCCACCTCTGTTGTTTTTTGGTGAGCTTGTGCCGTCGAACGATTTATCCAACCTCAACGTCGGAAAAAGATGGGATCCATACTTGACATTTTTGTTTTTCGCCCCCCACACAAAGAAACTCCTTGCTTGAAAGCTTTCATTTTCTACACTTCTGTGAGAGGATGTCCACAAGCGTTGGTAACATAGTGGTGAGCACAGCTGGCTTCCTAGCAGATTCCCAGCCAATGTGTTCCTTTTGGCTTCCGTTATGCTACATGGCCGGGCGGCACTCTTGTGAGGATGTCCCTGTGACATGTGGGTAGATCGGTGCATTTTGCGAAGGTTAGGATCCCTATGCCGAACATGTTTCGGTGCCGAACCCGGACAAAGAGGGATCCTTGGTTGAAGGCAGTCCTTTTTGAGTTCTTCTGGCAAAAGCTGCCCGCAAGCGTTGGTGGTATAGTGGTGAGCATAGCTGCCTTCCAAGCAGTTGACCCGGGTTCGATTCCCGGCCAACGCATTTTCCTTTGGCTGCTGTATACGTCACGTCGGCCGATGACGCGCTTGTTAAAGGCAACCAACCGAAAAGTAAAAGGCAGACATGGGCCTCCCCGTCGGAGAATCGAACCCAGGTCTTCCGCGTGACAGGCGGAGATACTGTCCACTATACTAACGAGGAGCTGCGGAGCTACGGTGCCCGCTCCTGCCCCACGCAGATCAGCCACGTAATCCGGTCCTAGCAGCATTGTCTGCAGCGCTGCCACTAAAGACCTTGGCAGACAGCAAGAGGAGGGCTGAAAACTGGGCTTGGACAGCTTTTTCTTCATTAATACTCCTTGCTTCTTTCTCAGTCTTGCACTGGTCATCAGCAGTAACTTGAACAGTGCATCACACAGGAGAACGTGATTAGCATGTTTTGCAGCAAACAAAGCACGCCATTCATTCTTACACACAGCCCAGCTTTTACTCCACAAAATGTCAGCTTGCCCTTTCACGAGCTGCATCCAGTCAACCCTTGCAATGACATTCAAACCGGGGGGAGCTCATTACAGTGAACACTGGCTGACAGAAGATGAGAACTCCACCACTGCAGAGTGAAATTATCCACCTCTGTTGTTTTTTGGTGAGCTTGTGCCGTCGAACGATTTATCCAACCTCAACGTCGGAAAAAGATGGGATCCATACTTGACATTTTTGTTTTTCGCCCCCCACACAAAGAAACTCCTTGCTTGAAAGCTTTCATTTTCTACACTTCTGTGAGAGGATGTCCACAAGCGTTGGTAACATAGTGGTGAGCACAGCTGGCTTCCAAGCAGATTCCCAGCCAATGTGTTCCTTTTGGCTTCCGTTATGCTACATGGCCGGGCGGCACTCTTGTGAGGATGTCCCTGTGACATGTGGGTAGATCGGTGCATTTTGCGAAGGTTAGGATCCCTATGCCGAACATGTTTCGGTGCCGAACCCGGACAAAGAGGGATCCTTGGTTGAAGGCAGTCCTTTTTGAGTTCTTCTGGCAAAAGCTGCCCGCAAGCGTTGGTGGTATAGTGGTGAGCATAGCTGCCTTCCAAGCAGTTGACCCGGGTTCGATTCCCGGCCAACGCATTTTCCTTTGGCTGCTGTATACGTCACGTCGGCCGATGACGCACTTGTTAAAGGCAACCAACCGAAAAGTAAAAGGCAGACAAGGGCCTCCCCGTCGGGGAATCGAAACCCGGTCTTCCGCGTGACAGGCGGAGATACTGTCCACTATACTAACGAGGAGCTGCGGAGCTAAGGTGCCCGCTCCTGCGCCACGCAGATCAGCCACGTAATCCGGTCCTAGCAGCATTGTCTGCAGCGCTGCCACTAAAGACCTTGGCAGACAGCAAGAGGAGGGCTGAAAACTGGGCTTGGACAGCTTTTTCTTCATTAATACTCCTTGCTTCTTTCTCAGTCTTGCACTGGTCATCAGCAGTAACTTGAACAGTGCATCACACAGGAGAACGTGATTAGCATGTTTTGCAGCAAACAAAGCACGCCATTCATTCTTACACACAGCCCAGCTTTTACTCCACAAAATGTCAGCTTGCCCTTTCACGAGCTGCATGCAGTCAACCCTTGCAATGACATTCAAACCGGGGGAGCTCATTACAGTGAACACTGGCTGACAGAAGATGAGAACTCCACCACTGCAGAGTGAAATTATCCACCTCTGTTGTTTTTTGGTGAGCTTGTGCCGTCGAACGATTTATCCAACCTCAACGTCGGAAAAAGATGGGATCCATACTTGACATTTTTGTTTTTCGCCCCCCACACAAAGAAACTCCTTGCTTGAAAGCTTTCATTTTCTACACTTCTGTGAGAGGATGTCCACAAGCGTTGGTAACATAGTGGTGAGCACAGCTGGCTTCCTAGCAGATTCCCAGCCAATGTGTTCCTTTTGGCTTCCGTTATGCTACATGGCCGGGCGGCACTCTTGTGAGGATGTCCCTGTGACATGTGGGTAGATCGGTGCATTTTGCGAAGGTTAGGATCCCTATGCCGAACATGTTTCGGTGCCGAACCCGGACAAAGAGGGATCCTTGGTTGAAGGCAGTCCTTTTTGAGTTCTTCTGGCAAAAGCTGCCCGCAAGCGTTGGTGGTATAGTGGTGAGCATAGCTGCCTTCCAAGCAGTTGACCCGGGTTCGATTCCCGGCCAACGCATTTTCCTTTGGCTGCTGTATACGTCACGTCGGCCGATGACGCGCTTGTTAAAGGCAACCAACCGAAAAGTAAAAGGCAGACAAGGGCCTCCCCGTCGGGGAATCGAACCCCGGTCTTCCGCGTGACAGGCGGAGATACTGTCCACTATACTAACGAGGAGCTGCGGAGCTAAGGTGCCCGCTCCTGCCCCACGCAGATCAGCCACGTAATCCGGTCCTAGCAGCATTGTCTGCAGCGCTGCCACTAAAGACCTTGGCAGACAGCAAGAGGAGGGCTGAAAACTGGGCTTGGACAGCTTTTTCTTCATTAATACTCCATGCTTCTTTCTCAGTCTTGCACTGGTCATCAGCAGTAACTTGAACAGTGCATCACACAGGAGAACGTGATTAGCATGTTTTGCAGCAAACAAAGCACGCCATTCATTCTTACACACAGCCCAGCTTTTACTCCACAAAATGTCAGCTTGCCCTTTCACGAGCTGCATTCAGTCAACCCTTGCAATGACATTCAAACCGGGGGAGCTCATTACAGTGAACACTGGCTGACAGAAGATGAGAACTCCACCACTGCAGAGTGAAATTATCCACCTCTGTTGTTTTTTGGTGAGCTTGTGCCGTCGAACGATTTATCCAACCTCAACGTCGGAAAAAGATGGGATCCATACTTGACATTTTTGTTTTTCGCCCCCCACACAAAGAAACTCCTTGCTTGAAAGCTTTCATTTTCTACACTTCTGTGAGAGGATGTCCACAAGCGTTGGTAACATAGTGGTGAGCACAGCTGGCTTCCAAGCAGATTCCCAGCCAATGTGTTCCTTTTGGCTTCCGTTATGCTACATGGCCGGGCGGCACTCTTGTGAGGATGTCCCTGTGACATGTGGGTAGATCGGTGCATTTTGCGAAGGTTAGGATCCCTATGCCGAACATGTTTCGGTGCCGAACCCGGACAAAGAGGGATCCTTGGTTGAAGGCAGTCCTTTTTGAGTTCTTCTGGCAAAAGCTGCCCGCAAGCGTTGGTGGTATAGTGGTGAGCATAGCTGCCTTCCAAGCAGTTGACCCGGGTTCGATTCCCGGCCAACGCATTTTCCTTTGGCTGCTGTATACGTCACGTCGGCCGATGACGCGCTTGTTAAAGGCAACCAACCGAAAAGTAAAAGGCAGACAAGGGCCTCCCCGTCGGGGAATCGAACCCCGGTCTTCCGCGTGACAGGCGGAGATACTGTCCACTATACTAACGAGGAGCTGCGGAGCTAAGGTGCCCGCTCCTGCCCCACGCAGATCAGCCACGTAATCCGGTCCTAGCAGCATTGTCTGCAGCGCTGCCACTAAAGACCTTGGCAGACAGCAAGAGGAGGGCTGAAAACTGGGCTTGGACAGCTTTTTCTTCATTAATACTCCTTGCTTCTTTCTCAGTCTTGCACTGGTCATCAGCAGTAACTTGAACAGTGCATCACACAGGAGAACGTGATTAGCATGTTTTGCAGCAAACAAAGCACGCCATTCATTCTTACACACAGCCCAGCTTTTACTCCACAAAATGTCAGCTTGCCCTTTCACGAGCTGCATCCAGTCAACCCTTGCAATGACATTCAAACCGGGGGAGCTCATTACAGTGAACACTGGCTGACAGAAGATGAGAACTCCACCACTGCAGAGTGAAATTATCCACTTCTGTTGTTTTTTGGTGAGCTTGTGCCGTCGAACGATTTATCCAACCTCAACGTCGGAAAAAGATGGGATCCATACTTGACATTTTTGTGTTTCGCCCCCCACACAAAGAAACTCCTTGCTTGAAAGCTTTCATTTTCTACACTTCTGTGAGAGGATGTCCACAAGCGTTGGTAACATAGTGGTGAGCACAGCTGGCTTCCAAGCAGATTCCCAGCCAATGTGTTCCTTTTGGCTTCCGTTATGCTACATGGCCGGGCGGCACTCTTGTGAGGATGTCCCTGTGACATGTGGGTAGATCGGTGCATTTTGCGAAGGTTAGGATCCCTATGCCGAACATGTTTCGGTGCCGAACCCGGACAAAGAGGGATCCTTGGTTGAAGGCAGTCCTTTTTGAGTTCTTCTGGCAAAAGCTGCCCGCAAGCGTTGGTGGTATAGTGGTGAGCATAGCTGCCTTCCAAGCAGTTGACCCGGGTTCGATTCCCGGCCAACGCATTTTCCTTTGGCTGCTGTATACGTCACGTCGGCCGATGACGCTCTTGTTAAAGGCCACCAACCGAAAAGTAAAAGGCAGACAAGGGCCTCCCCGTCAGGGAATCGAACCCCGGTCTTCCGCGTGACAGGCGGAGATACTGTCCACTATACTAACGAGGAGCTGCGGAGCTAAGGTGCCCGCTCCTGCCCCACGCAGATCAGCCATGTAATCCGGTCCTAGCAGCATTGTCTGCAGCGCTGCCACTAAAGACCTTGGCAGACAGCAAGAGGAGGGCTGAAAACTGGGCTTGGACAGCTTTTTCTTCATTAATACTCCTTGCTTCTTTCTCAGTCTTGCACTGGTCATCAGCAGTAACTTGAACAGTGCATCACACAGGAGAACGTGATTAGCATGTTTTGCAGCAAACAAAGCACGCCATTCATTCTTACACACAGCCCAGCTTTTACTCCACAAAATGTCAGCTTGCCCTTTCACGAGCTGCATCCAGTCAACCCTTGCAATGACATTCAAACCGGGGGAGCTCATTACAGTGAACACTGGCTGACAGAAGATGAGAACTCCACCACTGCAGAGTGAAATTATCCACTTCTGTTGTTTTTTGGTGAGCTTGTGCCGTCGAACGATTTATCCAACCTCAACGTCGGAAAAAGATGGGATCCATACTTGACATTTTTGTGTTTCGCCCCCCACACAAAGAAACTCCTTGCTTGAAAGCTTTCATTTTCTACACTTCTGTGAGAGGATGTCCACAAGCGTTGGTAACATAGTGGTGAGCACAGCTGGCTTCCAAGCAGATTCCCAGCCAATGTGTTCCTTTTGGCTTCCGTTATGCTACATGGCCGGGCGGCACTCTTGTGAGGATGTCCCTGTGACATGTGGGTAGATCGGTGCATTTTGCGAAGGTTAGGATCCCTATGCCGAACATGTTTCGGTGCCGAACCCGGACAAAGAGGGATCCTTGGTTGAAGGCAGTCCTTTTTGAGTTCTTCTGGCAAAAGCTGCCCGCAAGCGTTGGTGGTATAGTGGTGAGCATAGCTGCCTTCCAAGCAGTTGACCCGGGTTCGATTCCCGGCCAACGCATTTTCCTTTGGCTGCTGTATACGTCACGTCGGCCGATGACGCGCTTGTTAAAGGCAACCAACCGAAAAGTAAAAGGCAGACAAGGGCCTCCCCGTCGGGGAATCGAATCCCCGGTATTCCGCGTGACAGGCGAAGATACTGTCCACTATACTAACGAGGAGCTGCGGAGCTAAGGTGCCCGCTCCTGCCCCACGCAGATCAGCCACGTAATCCGGTCCTAGCAGCATTGTCTGCAGCGCTGCCACTAAAGACCTTGGCAGACAGCAAGAGGAGGGCTGAAAACTGGGCTTGGACAGCTTTTTCTTCATTAATACTCCTTGCTTCTTTCTCAGTCTTGCACTGGTCATCAGCAGTAACTTGAACAGTGCATCACACAGGAGAACGTGATTAGCATGTTTTGCAGCAAACAAAGCACGCCATTCATTCTTACACACAGCCCAGCTTTTACTCCACAAAATGTCAGCTTGCCCTTTCACGAGCTGCATCCAGTCAACCCTTGCAATGACATTCAAACCGGGGGAGCTCATTACAGTGAACACTGGCTGACAGAAGATGAGAACTCCACCACTGCAGAGTGAAATTATCCACCTCTGTTGTTTTTTGGTGAGCTTGTGCCGTCGAACGATTTATCCAACCTCAACGTCGGAAAAAGATGGGATCCATACTTGACATTTTTGTTTTTCGCCCCCCACACAAAGAAACTCCTTGCTTGAAAGCTTTCATTTTCTACACTTCTGTGAGAGGATGTCCACAAGCGTTGGTAACATAGTGGTGAGCACAGCTGGCTTCCAAGCAGATTTCCAGCCAATGTGTTCCTTTTGGCTTCCGTTATGCTACATGGCCGGGCGGCACTCTTGTGAAGATGTCCCTGTGACATGTGGGTAGATCGGTGCATTTTGCGAAGGTTAGGATCCCTATGCCGAACATGTTTCGGTGCCGAACCCGGACAAAGAGGGATCCTTGGTTGAAGGCAGTCCTTTTTGAGTTCTTCTGGCAAAAGCTGCCCGGAAGCGTTGGTGGTATAGTGGTGAGCATAGCTGCCTTCCAAGCAGTTGACCCGGGTTCGATTCCCGGCCAACGCATTTTCCTTTGGCTGCTGTATACGTCACGTCGGCCGATGACGCTCTTGTTAAAGGCAACCAACCGAAAAGTAAAAGGCAGACAAGGGCCTCCCCGTCGGGGAATCGAACCCCGGTCTTCCGCGTGACAGGCGGAGATACTGTCCACTATACTAACTAGGAGCTGCGGAGCTAAGGTGCCCGCTCCTGCCCCACGCAGATCAGCCACGTAATCCGGTCCTAGCAGCATTGTCTGCAGCGCTGCCACTAAAGACCTTGGCAGACAGCAAGAGGAGGGCTGAAAACTGGGCTTGGACAGCTTTTTCTTCATTAATACTCCTTGCTTCTTTCTCAGTCTTGCACTGGTCATCAGCAGTAACTTGAACAGTGCATCACACAGGAGAACGTGATTAGCATGTTTTGCAGCAAACAAAGCACGCCTTTCATTCTTACACACAGCCCAGCTTTTACTCCACAAAATGTCAGCTTGCCCTTTCACGAGCTGCATGCAGTCAACCCTTGCAATGACATTCAAACCGGGGGAGCTCATTACAGTGAACACTGGCTGACAGAAGATGAGAACTCCACCACTGCAGAGTGAAATTATCCACCTCTGTTGTTTTTTGGTGAGCTTGTGCCGTCGAACGATTTATCCAACCTCAACGTCGGAAAAAGATGGGATCCATACTTGACATTTTTGTTTTTCGCCCCCCACACAAAGAAACTCCTTGCTTGAAAGCTTTCATTTTCTACACTTCTGTGAGAGGATGTCCACAAGCGTTGGTAACATAGTGGTGAGCACAGCTGGCTTCCAAGCAGAAGACAAGGAGTCTGAATAAAGGCAGTGCTCCACACAGAGATCTGATTACCATCCAGTCTGTCTTGAATGACATGAAGAAATACAACAAACTGAGATAAGCAACTGTACATACAGAAGAACTTTGGCAACATCTCTGAGATGCTTCAAAAAACCGACCTCCCTGCTGAAAAATCCAGCTTAAACCAGCCTAGGCTGGTTGGCTGGTTTTAGCTGGTCAACCAGGCTGGTTTTAGAGGGGTTTTTGCCATTTCCAGGCTGGTTTCCAGCCATTTCCAGCCTGGTCTTAGCTGGTCAGGCTGGAAAATGACCTGCTAAATCCAGCTAAAACCAGCTTGACCAGCCTGGTTTAAGCTGGACATAGCTAGTTTTGGCTGGGCTCCCAGCCTGGCTAGGCTGGTCAAGCTGGTTTTAGCTGGTCATCTTTTTGACACTTCCTAATCTGCAATTGCCTCTCTGGAATTACCACTAACTGTACCCAAAAAAAAAAAAAAAAAAAAAAAAAAAAAAAAAAACTAATACTAATACTACTAATACTTTCCTTCTTAGACTTTACAGACCTGAAACTTGCCTATAGCACTTATTCATTGTTGCTCTTATAGTTGTGTAAATTTCTTCCTTGTCCTCATTTGTAAGTTGCTTTGGATAAAAGCGTCTGCTAAATGACTAAATGTATATATATATATATATATATATATATATATATATATATATATATATATATATATATATATATATATATATAAAGATAGAGAGAGAGCGGGCGAGAGCCATTAAATGTTCAATTGTATTTATTGAAATTGTTGACATCAAAACTTTTAAAGCAGTTGAACGGACTAATGACTCTGGTATTTATTTTATGTTCTTGTATGTGTGGTGCTGTTTTGTCTTTGTCTTCAAATAGATAGTCTGTTGACTATCTCCTGAACATTTACTGACTAGTAATCATGCTGTCTGTGATGTTGGCTCCTTACAGTCATCCAACAGAATTTCACTTCATTTTGATGGGCCTAGTGTGACAACAGATGAGCAGATACATGTAACTTAAAGTAAAATAACTGTCTACAGAAAGTTAGGTTAAATGCAACGAATAGTTAATTGAACACTCTTGCAAATACATGTATGATCACAACCTCCCGTATGATCTGGTGATAATACTTTTGTTTGATAGTAATGTATAGTGTCTATATGGTATCTGTAAATGTTTAGTGTGAAATTGTTGGACAACCACCATACACACATTAAACAGCAAAATAAACATGCCTATAGCTTACTAAAAGCCTTTATGTCTGTTCATATATTTTATATAAATGCAGAGCATCAAAACCCATGGGATTTTATCAGCCACTCACCATCAGAGTCCTCAGTGGAAGCTGAGAAGAGCAGAAGAGGAAGCCAAGCAAGAGATGCCAAAAAAAGGGGGAAGGAAATAATGTGTTGTTTTGCTGTTTGAGTATTGGCAGGCGCAGTGGGTAGCACAATCGCCTCACCACAAGAAGGTCGCTGGTTCGAGCCTCGGCTGGGTCAGTTGGCATTTCTGTGTGGAGTTTGCATGTTCTCCCCATGTTAGCGTGGGTTTCCTCCGGGTGCTCCCACAAGTCCAAAAATATGTGGTGACATTGGGTAAGCTAAAATTGTCCGTAGTATATGTGTGTGAATGAGTGTGTATGGATGTTTCCCAGTGATGGGTTGCAGCTGGGTGGCAACACAGTGGCACAGTAGGTAGTGCTGTTTCCTCACAGCAAGAAGGTTGCTGGTTCGAGCCTCGGCTGGGTCAGTTGGCATTTCTGCGTGGAGTTCTCCCTGCGTTCGCGTGGGTTTCCTCCGGGTGCTCCGGTTTCCCTCACAGTCCAAAGACATGCGGTACAGGTGAATTGGGTAGATTAAATTGTCCGTAGTGTATGCGTGTGTATGGGTGTGTATGGATGTTTCCCAGAGATGGGTTGCAGCTGGAAGGACATCCACTGCGTAAAACATATGCTGGATAAGTTGGTGGTTCATTCCACTGTGGCGACCCCAGATTAACAAAAGGACGAAGCCGAAGAGAAAATGAATGAGTATAGGCAATGATAGACAACACAATGTTTGATTAAGATGAAGTGTTTTAAAATGCTGATGTATTAAAATAAAGTTTACAAAGTAAAGAAATATATTGTGTGTTTGTATATTTATTTTACTGCCTTCAAGATTTTACATTGTAAACTAAAGGGAACAAGGGGGGAACAAATGTTGTATTTACCCTTTAACTACAGGTAACAAGGGAGGAACAATGCTTCACTTTAATTTACAACCCTCAAATGTGGTATTTACCCTGTAAGTACAGGGAACAAGGGGGTAACAAGGGAGGAACAATGCTTCACTTTAATCTTACAACCCTCAAATGTGGTATTTACCCTGTAAGTACAGGGAACAAGGGGGTAACAAGGGATGAACAATGCTTCACTTTAATTTACAACCCTCAAATGTGGTATTTACCCTGTAAGTACAGGGATCAAGGGTGTAACAAGGGAGGAACAATGTTTCACTTTAATTTACAACCCTCAAATGTGGTATTTACCCTTTAAGTACAGGGAACAAGGAGGGAACAAATACTGTATTCACCTATTAACTACAGGGAACAAAGAGGGAAGAAGCTGAATCTTCAACACACTAGTGTATACTTGAACACTAAGAACAGGGTAAACTACAGCAGCAGTTTTTATTGATTGAAGACCAAATTACTACATTTTTCTATAAAGCATCTGTAACCCAGGTTACCAACAGAAACAGGATTAGAATTAATTAATTAAATATGCTGAACTTATAGTTTTCTCTTTCTGTTTTACAAATTACCTTTATAGCCAATTAGAATACATTAAAATATATATTTTTTTTTACCTGTAAAAGCGATCTAAAAGAGTTTAGAATATCATGTGACGTCTTTCCGGTTCCGATCACTGACGCGGGTAGAATTCGCGCGCACTCGCATCGGCGGAGCAGACGAGAGCAGACGCAGATTTAGATTCTCTCTCTACATTAAGTTGTATTGAACTAGAAAATAAGAGATTTTTTGATTTAATGTTGAATTATATGTGTCTAAAGACAATATAGAAGGAAGTGATGCTAGAAGAAACCGTTTATGTGAGATAAATATAGTTTAATTAGTTAATGATTGCGACGGAGCTGATTACAAGCAGCCTGGCTAATGTGTAACTAGCTTTATTAGGAGATCGTCTGAAAGGAAACGCGATTAAAGTTAAATGCTGAAAAAGCAAAAGGATTGAGTGAAGAATTTCTTCACATTAAAAAGATTAAAAGTTCATCTGGTTTTGGTGAGTTAACTTTTGTTTCATTTATTAGTTAATAAATGTAAATGTATTAGAAATAGTGCTCATGCAAAGTCAAATGTAAGTGAATGTCTATTCTAAGTTCATTTAATTCTTAATGATATTATAAGAAAATGTGAATATAGTTTTATATGTGAAATGTAATTCCTATTTTGATGCTGTAATAGATACCATATGTGTGTTATGAAATTTATATTAATGATGATTTTGTGACCTTGTTTTCAAGGTCAGGTTTTTTTGTTGTTGTTGTTGTTTGTTTGTTTTATTTTACCTCCTTTACCTGGATTGGTGCCATCGTTGTGCTCCTGTGTGATCTGTTGATTTGATGCTGGATTGGGATTGGAGCTTATTGGATTCTGGATTCGTTCTAACTCCTGTGTTCGCTAAAGGGGTTGGGACTGGCGAGCCATACGAATCGAACTTCAAATTGTCATTGTGTGAAACTGATACTTGTTGCCGATCAGGATGGTAGGAAACTGAACTACAAGCACACACAGTCGTTCAATGATTTCTTTTGGGAAAAGGATTCACTCACAGAGGAGAAACTGAGTGACAGACATTTCGTTGTTGCTCCTTGAGATATTTTATATTCACTAAAAAGGTGAATATACACATACTGACTGTTTTTTGCAGGAAAAGAAAAGACTTTTAAGAAACTGAATTTATTGAAAGAAAAGAGAGAACTGTGAAGTGATTACAAGTGAACTGTTTTATTGGTTTGTTATTTCATTTATTGTTGATATACCAAGTGGTAATAGGTTTGGTTTTGTTTTATTAGTTTTTTTTTTTCAAACTTGCACAGATTAGAGAAGTAGAATACATACACAAAATTGAGAAATTAATTCAGAAAATAACTTCTTTAATATTTTATTTCATCAAGATTGAATTCTTTACTTACAAGGGAAATTTGTTTTATTGATAAAGAGTGAAGTTTATTTATTTTTTTTTCTGAGAAATTGAAAAGAGTTGAAAGTGAAACCTGTGAAAACATAGGATTATTTTAGTTATATTACATCAACAGTATTGAGTAAAGGTGGTTATACTTACCTAAAATATACTTACCTGTTGAGTAAATTCTGGATTTGAAACCTGAAATCAAAAGAGAAACATTTGTGAAACATTATTTTATTATTTTATTTGATATTGAATATTTTTGTACCTTGTGACAATTTTATTTTTGTTTCTTATGATTTATTTGTTGATAAATTGAGATTTAACACTTGAATACAAGACAATACAATCAATTAAAAACCTTATTCGTTGTGTGAGTGGTTCATTATTGTTGTGACACCCTGGTTCTCTGCAGACGAATCTAGGCTTCTGATTTCACTGGTCCATATTCAAAGCCTTTCTCAGGAAAGTGTTACACATCAGCTATACATTTACTGAAATGCAACAGTTAGCCTCCCTGTGCAAACAGTAGTAAAGATGCGAGCCTGTTTTTATCTGTATTGAACCCTGACGGTAGGCCTATATCATGCAAAGTTATTTGTTGATAGTGAGTTATGGATCATTAAACTATCATTATGGATAGTGAGTTATGGTTCATTAAACACCCCATATAAAACCCAAACACTGAATAAGAGTAATGTACTCATGCAGGTGCATGTACAGTACATTTGCAGATAGCAATAGGTTGTCACCATCCTTGCATAATT